ATATATATATATATATATATATATATATATATATATACATATATACACATACATATACATATATATATATATGCATATACAATACCATACCATACCATACCAATTTATTTATAGAGCACTTAAAACAGCAGCAAGGCCAACCAAAGTGCTGTACAAAAGAAAACAAACATGCAGAGCGGACAGGAAAATATAAAATAGAAATACAGATACAAATAGCAGTAGAAGCTAACTAAAATGTCCAACAGAGTAGAGAACAGACCAGACCAAAACAAATCACAACGTGTTAAAGGCAAGAGAATAGAAGTGGGTCTTCAAGCGAGACTTGAAGACTGAGAGTGTGGGAGCCTTCCGGACACTCAGTGGCAACTCATTCCACAGTCGTAGACCTGCAACAGAGAAAGCCCTGTCACCTCTGAGCTTACGACGGGTTTCTGGGACTGAGAGAAGCATCTGGTCTGCTGACCTCAGAGAGCGCGGTGGGACATATGGCTGCAGAAGATCAGTGAGATAGGATGGGGCAGAACTGTTCAGTGATTTAAAAACATACATGAGAATTTTGAATTGGATCCGAAGGTGAATGGGTAGCCAGTGCAGGGAGGCCAAAACTGGCGTGATGTGCTCTCTATAGCCTGTACCAGTTAAAAATCGGGCTGCAGCATTTTGGACCAGTTGTAGACGAGCAATGGAGGACTGACTGATTCCAAACAGAAGTGAATTGCAGTAATCAAGCCTAGATGTTATGAAGGCGTGGATCACTGTCTCAAGGTTCTTTTTGGAGAGTATAGGCTTCAGCTTAGACAGCCGTCTCAGCTGAAAAAAACAGGATTTGACCATCATGTTTACGTGACTGTTGAGTTTTAAGGACGGGTCCATTATCACCCCCAGATTAGTGACCTTTTGTTTCTCTAGCGGGGCTAGAGAGAAAAGGTCAATGTCATGGTTCATGAGTGAGCCACTGGGATGGAACAGCATGACTTCAGACTTCTTCTCATTGAAGCTTAAGAAGTTTAAAGCCATCCAGTCCCGGATGTCAGCCAGGCAGTCAAGAAGAGGCTGAATAGAGCGTGTGCCTC